ATGATTATCTTAATTATATTTTAGATTTTTTATATTTAAAATGAGATGTTTATCCTGTATTTGATTGTGTTTATCTGCAGTTAGTTACACGAATTCAAATATTGAATGAAATCGGATAGGGATGAACGGGTTTAAGAGTTTTTAAGAATTTTTAAGAGTTTTAGCCAAATGCTTTATAAGATAGTATAGATTAAGGTTTTAAGTATAAATTTTTTTTTACTACTCTATTATTGTTGATCCAATTTATTTGTATTCCGCCTCTGAATGCACATTTATGATTGTTAAATACAGATCTATTTGATATAAATATGTTCACATTTAACAATTATAGATGAGCATTTATCCTATCCATTTGCTTTTTAGTTTTTTTTCCTAAAATTTTCACGTTAAATTTGTCAAAACAAAATCAATAAATTCAAATTAACCCTTTAGTCCAGTAAACTACAAATTCAGTCTTAGCCATTTGTGGAAAGTAATAGTTTTTATCCCTATAGTTTTAAAATTACAAGATAGTCATCATAGTTTGTAAAAAGGTCTAAATTTGGTCTGTAGCTCTAACGGCATTAAAATTTTCATTATATTAGGCGCATTTTTGTTCTTTTAGTGATTTTTTTGTTTTCTTCCTGATCAAAATTGATTTTATGATTTTGATTCTCATGGTTGTTGATTGAGTAAAGAACAAAAAATTCGATAAAAGGACGAAAATGCTCCCCACTCAACAATTTTTTTGTAACAATCATTAGAGACAGAGATCAGATCTGGATATTTTTCCAAACCACAATAACCATCTTGTAATTTCAAAATTCTAAGAACGAAAAATGTTAAATTTTCACAAACCACTTGAACCAATTTGGTCGTTTCTATTTTTCATTTACTCTAAAATAGACCGATTTCTTCCTTATCTTATCCTACCCCTGAGAGGTTGGGTGAGTGGAAGGTTTTGAAATTATTGTTTCTGGAAGTGTTTGAGATTGCTTATTTGAAAAAACTTATGTTTTTCTACAAAAGTGTTTATCAACTTCTTATAAGTTGAATGATTTAACTTTTTAAAAAATTTCTTATTACCGGTTTGACACCGATATAAGTTGTTTATCAAAACACTCAAAAGTGTTTATTACCAACGACACACCGAAATAACTCAATAAGTTGTTTTTATAAACAATCCCAAATACGCCCTAAGATTTGAGAATGATTGTTTTTAATTATTCACTATACATCATTCATTGAATAAGCACATAAAATTATATGTTATCTTTATGTGTTTTCAAGTATAGTATATAAATAGGAATGTATACAGTTATGGTTGGTTGGCGATCTGCATTTTACAGATTCTTTTCTTTAATTTCTTTATCTTATATCTGGTTTTTTTTATAACATATTTGATTTTAAAAAAAATGAATTGCAAAATCGATATATATGGCACACTCACTTCGGAACGTATATAAATTGGTATGAGATTTATATGTGTTTAGTGCCACAAACCTRCTCGTGCTGACTGAGGTAAGAGAAGTCTAATTGAGATAAGAGATCTGAATCAGATAAGTATTGATCTAAAATCGTTGTTTATCTAACTCAAAGGTATTTAGAAGTAAATAGGCCCCAAGTCAAAGTATGAATTCTCGATTGGCCGTGATGGGTGTTGGGTTATGGTGATGAAGAACGTGGTGTTAAGTTATCGACTTACAACGTTAAAGAAAGTGATGTCGAGTTACACACTTATGTTGCCGAATTGTTATATAGATGTGAAAGTATATAAATATTCATAATGTTATACATACATACATGTATATATATATATATATATATATTGATTAACGTAAAACCAGTTAAAATGGGGAAAAAAACTATAATAAGATAAATGTTATATTGAAGAGAATGAAATGTTTGTTTTTTATGTAACTTTTATATTAAAATATTAATGATTTTTAAAATAATTGAGTTTAATAATTAAGAAGTAAAAATTTTTAATTTTAAAATATAAGAAATTAAAATAAATTGTTTTGAGCCAAATCATTGCGATTATTCCAATACCATGTGAATTATGTGTTTGACAATTTCAAGCAAAGAGACATTGCTTCACGACAACAAAATTTAATTTATTATATACTATATTATAAAGCATTTGACAAAAACTCTTAAAAACCATTTTTTATGCATAAAATATTGTTTATTAATGCATATTACTTAAAACTCAAGATTTCATGTAGATTGTGCGTAAATACAACTTATTAAAACTCGATATCTGAATTCGTGTAACTAACTGCAGATAAACATAATCAAATACAGAATAAACATCTCATTTTAAATATAAAAAATCTATAATATAATTAGGATAATCATTGAGTTCTAACAGAATACTTAATTATTATCTTTATAAAATGTTATATTATTAAACCAAATATAAATTATTTCGTTATTAAACTTAAATTTAATTATAATAAAAAAATAAATTAATGAAATTACATAAAAAATGAGAACTTTTAAATAGTTGATTTGATATTAATATCGATATATTTTTCTTCAAATTTATATTTTATTCAAAACTAAAATCGTTATTGCTTTCTTAAAAATACATAAAATCATATTATAACATCGACATAGACAAATAATAAAATAGAACATTAAAATCGAGATATGTCTGCTGCATTGTACGAGTACTCTTCTAGTATTTATAAATATATTTTATAGTAAACCAAAAAATGTGGTTCATGTGATTTTTCAAAAATAATATTTTTTGTCCCTACAATTTCGAAAAAGCTTATTTGAAAAACATCTTGATTTGGTCTTTTTTTGTATGACGATCGGTAAATGATGGATATTTTCATCATTTTATCGATTTTTTTGCCTTTTGCAGAACAAAAAATCACAAGGACGAAAATCATAAAGTACATTTTGATCATATAAAAGACAAAAATAGTCGACAAAAGAAGGAAAATGTCCTGTATCTAGCGGAAATTTTTAACACTCGTTAGAAAGAGGAATCAAATTAAGACATTTTTATAAATCATGATGATCATCTTGTAATTTTAAAGTTAGAAAAACAAAAAATATTATTTCCGACAAACCACATGACTATATTTGTAGCTTGCTTTATATTTTATTTGATACGACGATAATTTGAAAATTGTTGAGGATGTGAACATTGTTTCTTGATTAAAGTAATGGTTTTTAAACAAACACAAGAAGTTGTATAAAATTTTAATCATCTTTTATTTACATTTTCTTACAATATAGTCCATTATTGACATATTGGGACCAGCTTAGGACCACCACTAGGATCAGTCGATATCAATAAGGACTAGACTAGACCGATGGGCTAGGATTGGTTATGTTTATTTATGAAAATTCAAGGCTCAGCCAAGCCTAAAACCGGCTACAGAACTTGAGACCAGTTATATATAGGCCTAATTTTGTTTTTTAAAAATACATTTAAAGTTCTTAAAAACCAAAAACTTTGAAAAAATTTAAAGTTTTTCAAGTTCTT